AAAATCCCATTTGTTAGTATTTATTAGTAGTAGTAAAAATAGCTGCCATTTCTACAGGTTTTTAAGGTTTGTAAAGCACTTTCCTGTCTTAGCTCCTTTGATCATCACAAGAAGTCAGAGAGATAGGTGCTAGGCTGTTTTTTTTTTTTAATGCTCATTTTAAAAATGAGGAAACTGAGACTCATTGAAGTTCTGTTACTTGCCCAAAGTCACATAGCTGGGAAGTGTCAGGAGTGAAACTGGAACTCAGGTCTCTTGTGATTCCAAGTCCAACACTCTACTCCAGCACTGGAGCAATGGTGGATGCTTCAAACCATCAGTACAGCAAGCCAGGAGGCAAAGGATCTTAATAGTCAATCAGGGTGCAGGGCATAGCCTCTCATCCAAGTCCATTTGTTGCAAGAACTCTTCAGGAATACCTGGCTTGGAGGCAAAACACTAGGGGTCTAGCCTGGGGCTCAGTTGTTGCTGTCCAACTCTTGACAGTTTCCCAGAAGCTGAAGGCTCAGTATCGTGAATTTTAGGGGGGCCTTTCAGCAGTGAGATGTTAAATGAAACAGAACCACTGGAAATGAGACTAGTGCTTTTTTTCCCCTTGATGAGCACCAATTGTTATTGTTAATATACTGGTTCATTACACCTCATAGAAAACCTGACAATAAACTAGCAGCCGAATTTTCTTTATTCTAAGCCTGATTTTATCATCATTGGCTGTTGCTGAGCCAAGTGAAGCAGGCTACAGTCTGGGGGACTCAATGGATTCCCAGGTTGCTTCAGAAATGCAATGTTTGTGGAAAAAAAAAGAAACGCAATTTTCACATCTCCCCACCCCTAGTCCTAGCCTCACCAGGGGCAAAATATCTGGACTAAATATGGTAAAAGCAATTAGTTATTGATGATAACAGATATAAATTCTATTTGGAAATTATTGACTCCTTTTCCTCAGCAAAGTTGGCCACTTGGTTACCAAGGGTGATTTTTGAAGAAAAATCGATCCCTGAAGATTGCATTGCGAGGCATTTGCCGACCAACATGTGTCACTGTTTCCTATGAAAACAAAAAAGGTGGTTTTCCTGTAATGCCGATTTCATCTCCTGGGCAGGCTCTAAGCAACTAGGAACTTAGTTTTTTTTTCTTCTGGAAATCCTATTTTTTTTTCATCTGGAAATCCTATTTTTTTTTCATCTGGCAGTATGGAGAAAGGGCCTTGGGCACACAAAGGTGCCTGCCAATCTCTCTGGAGGCTATAGAAGGTAGGTTGTGAAAAGGGTTATGGGAAAGGGCTGAGAAGAAGCAAAAGTACCCACCCAGGAGAGTGATGACCTCTGCACTGCTCTGCTAAGTATTTCTCCATGTGGTAACAAGTTCTTCCTACATGAAGGTCAGGAACCTACTACTTTTTTTTCACAGATTTTTCTTTCCAGTGTCCTGGCTCCCTTGATTAACAGAGGGTTTTGCTCTCTATCCCACCTTCACTAGGAGTTACAACACTCTATGAAATGCCACAATATATGACAAACAGAGATGTCCCTCCTAATAGCTTATCTGAACACATGCCATCCCTTCCTTGAGAGCAGGTGTGATTCCTGGTCGGATTTAAGGTAACTTAGGGGTAGGTGTCCTTTCCTGCATCAGAGCCTTCCTGTGCTTAATCAAAATAAGCCAGAACTGGCTCCCTATCCTCTAGATCTGGCTTGATAAGAAAGATTGAGGGAAAGGGAAGAAAGTGGGGAGTGGAATTAATAAAAACAGCAACAATATCTCCTATTTACATTTCACTTTAAGTTTTACAAAATGCTTTCCTGAGGTGAATAGGTGCAATTATTATTACCCCTAATTTACATAAAGAGAAACTGAGGCATGGTCTTCTGCCTCCATGACCCACACTTGAAGCACTCCACCTTGAGGCAGCATGGTGATGTGGAAAAAGCCCTGAATTAGGAGTTGGGAGGCCTTGGTTCTGGTTTGGATCTGCCAATACAACATAACACTGGTCTGGTCACATATTCTCTGTGTGTTTCTCTGTTTTCTCATGTGTAAAATAAGGAGATAGGACATGTTGTTCACTCCTTTCAGTCATGTCTGACACTGTGACTCTTCTGGGGTTTTCTTGGCAAAGATACTGGAGTAGTTTGCCATTTCCTTCTCCAGTTCATTTTAGAGATGAGGAAACTGAGGCAAACAGGGTTAAGTGATTTGCCCAGGATCATACAGCTAGTAAGTGTCTGAGGCCAGATTTGAACTCGGGTCTTCTTGACTCCAGGCCTGGCATTTTATCCACATGGCCTAGGTGATTTCTAAAGGCCCTTCCAGTACCTAAATTCTAGGATTCTTACTCTGTCATCTCTCAGGTGACTGAATCAAGCTTAGAAAGAAGTATTTGGAAGGAAATGTGGTCTTCTCCAAGTTCCTATAACCTCTCAGAAAGTAGTTTCTTTCCTGGAAAAATCTGCTCAGAGATCTTGAGCCTGAAGGAAACTTCTTCAGTGAGAGTGCCTCTCTTGGAGGAGTCACCTAATCACCTCACCTCCACCTCAGGCTCCCCCCTCCAGCTCTTGTGTTTCCCCCTGTCTCAGCTCCCATCTCAGCTAGCTGAGGAGTTGGGCCCACACTGTTTCACTTGACATAAAGAAAGATTGAGGCACAGCAAAAGTCTGTCTGGGCTGGGGCAAGCTGAGGTCTTACCTCAAGGATCTCTGTCCCCAACTCAGAAGGAAGCATGGGTGGCAGCCCCCCCTCTAAGAACTCAGGCCTGAGGAATAATTACAGGCTTTAGGGTACTGAAGCATGAGAACCCAATTCCTTTTAAAAACTACAGGGGGAAGAACCAGAATGGAGGAAAAGGAAATAATTCAGACTAGGATTTCAGCACTAGCAAGAAGAAAATGGGAAGCAATGGAGGGAAAGATCACTGCTTTGTAGACATAGAGCCATGTAACAAGAACTGGGCAGTAGGCTGGAAGGTCCTAAGCTCCTTGCTAAACTGGAAGCTGGGTGTCAAGGAGAATACAGGGATAGTTTCTGTCCCATCCATCCTTCATTTCTTTTTAAATCTGTCCCAAGTAATAACAGGAACTTGGTGCTGAGAAGGGAAAGAAAAGAAAGAGAAAAAGAAGAAGAAAGCCTGGCAGAAGGGAAGAACTCTGGTGGCCCCACACAAAGTGAGTAAAGGGCTCCACATTTCAGGATCAAGTATGGCTCTGTTCTCCTAACTGCTTTGGGCTAGGCCCATATTACTCAGGGAAGGGGATTGCATCTCTAGTCCTACCTGACTTTCCCAGACCTTAGCCAGCCTGATTCCTGGTTCTCACTTGCTCCAATACAAGAGGAAGGTCTCACTGAAGAAGATCTGGCATTGAATTATGGCAGGAGTTTTGTCCAGCCTCAGGCTCGGCCTAGGAGTGCTAAGGAGAATGGGCAAGGAGGCAGAGAAATAGTTGCTGCAGCTATAGGAACCAAGAAATTGAGGTGGGGGAGGTGGGAGATGAGGTGAGAGGCTACACCAGGACTTGCTTTGGAATTCAGCTCTTCTGCTGTTATTTCTACACGCCAAGGGGGCCCAACCAGGACAGATTGCTTGCCTCGGGAAACGGCAGTCATTTTGCGTTCTGAATACACACACACACACACACACACACACACACACACACACACACACACACACACACACACCCCTCTCGATTTCTGAGTGACAGCAAACCTGGTCTCAGTCTCGGATTAGGAAGCGCTCTTGGTTCGGGGAAACAGAAGAAAAACCAATACCCTTGACTTTCAGTGGGGTAGTAGAGTGTAGACTGGACGCCAGGAAAGAAGGAGGTTTGGGACAAAGCTGTGGCCTCAGCACGCAGTCCCCTAGGACCTTCAGAGAAGGGGGATAACGCTTGTAAATCCCCTTTCCATTCTCAGTTTACCAGAGAGGGGTGACTTATCCCGGCAGTCAGTGGTGGGGTGGAGGGATGAAGGTGCAATAAGGTCTTTGACTGTGGAGTGAGGGGCAGGGGCTCTTTCCTCAGCCTAGATCCAGGCTGTTTTCTGATAACAGCAACCCCGTAGTACACGAAAAGATTAACCTGGCCAGGTGGGGTCTGGAGAGTTGGAAGGTTGCAGACCCACTCACCGCCCCCCCCAAAACACCTCGCCCAATATCAGAGAGGTAGCAGACAAGGAGTGTTGGAGAAGTGGCCTTGGCTTAGTGTTAATGGAACAGAACAGAAGCACTCTGCCGACTCTTAAGGGGAAAGAGGTACTGGGACCTGTCCAATCAACTTACCTTTCTCTACTCCACCCCTCCCCCTCAACGCAGAAGGGCTCTTCAAGACAACCTGGGTACCAAGACAGTCCACGCCAGTAGCGTTAGAAATTTGGGGCATGTACAGTATTTTGGGAGAAGGAGGAAAAATCTCAACTCCCTCCAGCTGAATTCCAGACCAGCCCCTGGAGAGTCACGCACCCAAAATCCCACCTGGGTAGGCAATATGAGTGGGGGCGGGGGAGTGGGGAGAGAGAGAGAGCCACCACAGACACAAAAACACCTCCTTCTCCCAGCCCATCCTCAACCCTGTCCTTCCACATCTCCATCTTCACCCTACCGAGGAAAAAGGATCTTGGTACGTTCCCTTCACAACCCGCCCGCCGAGGCTGGGGAGCGAGCTCCGAGATCAGTCGGGACAGCAACCCTCTTTGTCTGGTACAACCAAGGGAGGAATCTCAGGATTCCCCAAAAGTCTCTCATCTCTTTGCCCCAAATCGCTAATCTAGCCCATTAATGCCTCTCATGCCTCGTCACCTTCTCCATCCTGTGCAAATACTCTGGACAAATCTCAGAACCCTCTGCTAACTTCGCGGGCGCAAACTCTCCGGTGCGCCACCCGGGCGGTGGAGTGGCGACCATGAGCGCCTCTCGGCCTCCTCCCTCCACCATCCCGCCGCCGCCCTGCCCCGCAAACCCAGGCGCCGACCTCCCTGGTGCCCGTGGTCGCGCAGGTCCCAGCCCCGCTTACTTTTCGTGGCGGACGTTCTCCAGGATGGCCCCAAGGGGCGGCGCGGGAGGGTGCGATGAAGGGGGTCCGGGCTGTGTTGTGGCCCCGAGGCGGCAGGAGGCCAGGTGCCGCTGGTGCTCGTCCTGCAGGCAGGCGTTTTCTCGGTACAGCCGCGCCACTTGCTGCTCCAGCTCCTCGATCCGCCGCCGCTGCCGCTCCAGCAGCTCCTGCTGCGCCTCGATGATTCGGTTCAGCTCCTTCAGATACTCCGCCGCCTTGCTCGGGTTCTCCACGGGGCTCTCCATGGCCTCGCCGCCGCCGCCCCACCCCTCCTGCACTGACTGCCCAGGGGCCAGAGGGTTGGCGGAAGGCTTGGGACTTGGGGCGGGCGAGCCACTAGGGGCTAGGCGGTTCTCCACCTTCTGCCCTCGGGGAGGGAGGCCACGCGTCGGGGAGCTAGAAGGAACTTGCGGGGGGTGGAGGTGGAGAGGACTGAGGAGAGGAGAGTCCAGCCTGGGCTAAAGCCGCCCCTCCCCAGGGGAGCCCTCCGGTTGCCCTGGCTGTCCCTCAAGCTAGGGCGCTCAGGGGCCGGGGCGGCGGCAGGGGCGGCGGCGAAGGCGCCAGGGCGCTGGGGCTCTGGCTCCGGCTCCGGGCCGCCATTGCTCGACGCTGAGCTTCGGTCCCTTGGTCCAGGGAGGAGGCAACTACTGCTGCTGCCTCCGCCGCGGCGGTAGGGAGGGAGGAGTCCGGCTGCGCGGCTCGCTCCCCGCCCGCCTGCCCGCGGCTCCGCTCTTCAGCGCGCTCGCTCCTTCGCCCCTCTCTCCTCTCCCACTGGCTTCCTTCCTTCCTTCTTCCTTCCTCCTCCCGGAGACTGGGGCTAAGCGCCTAGCCTGCAGAAGCCCCCATCAAGGCAACACCACTGCCTGTGCTGCTGCTGCTGCTGCTGCTACTGCCGCCGCCGCTGCAGGCAGCCCCGGGAGCGGCGTGAGCCTGTCAGCGGGAGTGGGACATAGGGGGCAGCGAAGAGCGAGGCGGAGGCAGAAGGAGCTCCAGACCGGACCGTCGCGTGCACCCACCGCGGCCAGCAGCGCCCGGAACGCGTCGCCGCCGCCGCTGGCTCTTCCACCTGGCGCGGAGTGGAGTTTTGCAAAGTGCCAGTTTCTGTATCTGTGGGTGTGAGGGCGAGAGGTGGATAGCGAATGTGAGTGTGGAGAGCGAGAAAGCGAGTGTATGTATGTATCTGTGTGTGCGCGCACGAGCGTGTGTGGTTTGATATGTGTCTGTATGTGTGCGCGCCTGTGTGTGTGTGTGTGTGTGTGTGTGTGTGTGTGTGTGTGTGTGTGCGCGCGCGCGCCGTCCCTCCCCCGCCCGCCGCTGCCCGGTCTAGCTAGAGACCCGGGCAAGAGCCTAGGGCCCCAGGATCGGGACGGTTTTGTCAGCAGCGCCACCAGTCCCAGCGCTGCGCACCTTTCCCGGGCCTGGGGGTCAAGACTCGGGCGGGACCCTCTCTGGGTAGCGTCACAGCAGCCCGGCGGGAGCAAAGACCTGGGGTCGGGGGAGGGAATAGGGCGGGCAGCTGGGGTCCCAGATTTCTTTCTCACTCCCTGGGGCGGTCAGTAATCAGGCCAAGGTTGGAAACCGGGAAAGGCTGAGCTTTCAGCCTGGTAGGCTGGGCAACTCCTACTGGACAGGAGGTGGGGCGGGGTGGGGCAGCGCCCTGGGACCGAGATATTCTCCTCCCTCGAGACTCCAGTGTTTGTGTCTTTCAGCTTTCGGACAGCGCCTGGGGCCTGCTCCTGGGGCCTGGAAAGGACTAAGTGAAGGAAGGCATGCTGCGGGACCAGGGAGAAAGGACCACCAGAGAGGGAGCCGAGCTGTGAGTCTGGAAAGATTTAACACTCCAACCCTGGCAGTCTACTATCGTGGCATTCTGCTTAGCTCCCCTTCAGCCAACCCCAAAGCCTTGGGCTGCTCAAGGAGAGAGAGAGAGAGAGAGAGAGAGAGAGAGAGAGAGAGAGAGAGAGAGAGAGAGAGAGAGAGAGAGAGCGCGAGCGTGCGCAGCCTGGATCTGCCTTAACCAAAGGACCTATTTTCCTCCAACTAGCTGGAAACAAAAGGTGAGAAGACGCTAGAGAGTCTGGAATAGTACTAGTTTACATTTGTCTAGTGTTTTTACACTAGAGGTAGGTACAACAACAGTTATTATCTCCATTTTACAGATGGGAAAACTGAGGCTCAGTAGGCCTAGGAGCTTGTCACATAGTAAGTGGAAAGGATGGACTTCAAACCCAGATTTCCAGCTCCAAGTTCAGTGATATTTCTGGACTACAACAGGTTGCCTATCAAGGTCTGACCAGCAGGAAGTGTGTCATGTTTGGACCTCGGGGTTTCTTCACTCTGTCCCCATCCTCTTGATGCAGGAATCCAGCAAGCAGCCCTCACATAGGGCTCCATTGCCATATGACCCAGAGCATCATCTCTCTAGGACTCAACTGAATCCTCTGGAGATAATTCCAGACGCGACAGAGAATAAATCCCTGTTTGAGACTTGTGGCATTTCCTTTCAGTCCTGTGTTTTTTTGCTCCTCATACTATCTTCTCTCTTCCCACCCCAAGACTCATAAATCAGACTTGATTTATTTATTATCAGATTTGAGTGTGAACACAGAGAAATAAGGCACTGGCTCCTCTCCCTCCCAATCTGAGACTTGGGAGGTGAAGGATGAAAAAAAGGTAGGAGATCTGCCCTTTCCAATCCCTTCCTCCCAGGCACCACCTAATCTCATGAGCAGAGAAGAAACCAGCAGGGAATGAATCACGATGCCTCTGTGACAATTAGAATTAAGCATAAGGTGGCTTTTGTAGCCAGTGGGTGTTTGAATGTCTTCAAGTTTTATGACCCATTTCCCAGTTCACTCCCCCTTCCCCACGATCAGACATTTCAGTCCCTCCACCCCTTTGGGCAATGGGAAAGGTGAGGGAAGTGGTAATGAAGAAAGAATCCAAGGCTCACCATCTGCCTCCTGCCTAACTGATTTTCCTTGACCTCCATTATAGTCATTCTGTTGTGTTCCAATTATTTCCAGATTCCCCAGGGTTTTAGGTAAAAAGCAAAACTGACCTAACAGGAAGCCAAACAAATCACCTTTCCTTTTGCCATCCCACCCTCACTCTCACCTTCACCCTTTACATCCAAAGTTTATCTTCTTAAGAAGGAAAGAGCTTTCTTGGGCACTAGGAAGAAACAAACATGGATAGGAGTTGGCTTTGGGGTTTTAATAACGCCAGTTAATATTTATAAACTATAGACTTAGAACAGCCATCACTGTTGCTAACAGCCAAATGCTAGCAACTATCCTCAGCAAGGGGAAAAAAAGAGTTGGATATCCTGTTTACAATTCTAGTTTGATTTGTTAACATGAGTCAGACCCTATGCTTTGATTACAGGTGCCATTAGAGTATTGACTGAGCCTGGGGTCCCTGCTGTGAATCAATACCAACCAGTTTTGATTAATGACTCATTGTCAACCAAGAAAGAGGTCTCTCTGTATGACACAGTGCCTCATCCTTGGTTCTGTCCTCTTCCATGTTTTTACTAATAATTTGGAGGAATATATGGGAGGCTTTCTTGTCAAATGTGTGCATATTTATATGAAATTCTTTCAAAACTTCCAAAAGAGGGGAGGGAGGTAATGTGCCAATTGGCAGAGTCAAAAAAATTATTTTGACACGAAGAGATGATGGGTCACTAGGAAAATGAACAGGGATAAAGGTAAAATCCACTATTTAGGTTCAAAAAAATCAATTGCTCAATTGTAGGATGGGGAGACTTAACTTGTTCCTAGTTCACAAGAAAAACTCCTGGAGACTTAACCATAAGCTTAGTATGCACCAACAGTAACATAGATTTTTTTAAAAAAGGCTAATAAAATCTTACTTCACAAGATATCTTTCCTTTAAGTTAAATATTCTTTCTATCAGTGGAGATGGTAACTTTTCTATGCCTTAGTAAATGGCTTTATTAGCTGTTAACTGCAAAAAAAAAATTCTTCACAGTCAATTTTCTGCTAACACGCCTCTCCAGGTTTAACATAGTATAGCAGAAAAAGCCCTAGACTTGCCGGAAAAGGTCTGGTTTCAAAGTGGACTACCATATATACTACCATGAGCTAGTATTCATATAGTGCTTTAAGGTTGGCCAAGCAAACTTTACAAATATTATCTCATGTGATTTTCACAGTAACCCTGAGGGGTAGATGCTGTTGTTATCCCCATTTTATAGATATGGGTATATGAGTCCCCGAGCTAGCAAGTGCATGTGGTTAGGTTTGAATTCAGGTCTTCCTGACTTCAGGCCCAGCTCTCTACCCACCAGGCTACTTTTTGTTGTTGTCCAGTCATGGACAACATAACTCTTGGGGTTTTCTTGGTGGAGATATTGGAGTGGTTTGTCATTTCCTTCTCTAGCTTGTTTTTACAGATGAGGAAACTGAGGCAAACAAGATTAAGTGACTTACCCAGGGTCACATAGCTAGTGTCTCAGGCCAGATTTGAACTCAGGAAGATGAACCTTCCTGATTCCAAGCCCATTGCTCTATCCACTGCATTATCTAGCAGAGGGCTCCCTAGTTGCCTGGTTTTGTTTCCTTTCCCAAGTTACCTTTTCAGCTAGATATTTCCTGCCAGAGCTTGAATTCTACTGGTATGGTGTTCAAAAACCCAGGGTCACCTTGATTGCACCAGATTGGGACAGAACTGGAGGAATCCTATACTAGCAGCAGGCTGCTGTTCAGATGAAGAGAGATAATATTCCTATTGTGTTCTGTGCTGAGCAGATCACATTTAAAATAATGCATTCATTCTGGGGTTCCACAAAACCATTAACAAACTAGAGAATGTTTTGAGGAGAGTGGCCAAAAGTCAGAGGACTCTGGAAACCTTGTCATATAGTTCAAGCATACTTAGCATGGAGAAGAGAAAATTAAGGGCATGTCTGATAGTTGTCTCTATACATCAGGAGGCTCGTCCTGCGGAAGAAGGAGCAGGCAGTTAGTTGTCTGTTGTTTCAGGGGACAGAACCAGGGCTAAGGGTGAAAGCTATAGGGAGGTTGATTTGCATTCAAAGACAGAAAAGGAATGAATTACCTCCTGATGTGGTGAGTACACTGTCACTGAAAGTATTCAAGCAGAGACTATAATAAGAAGAAGAACTAGCATTTATATAGCACCTACTATGTGCCAGGCACTGTGCTAAGCACTTTACAAATATTATCTCATTTCATCCACATAACAACTCTGGGAGGTAAATGTTATTATTATCCCCATTTTGCAGTTAAGGAAACTGAGGCAAACAGATATTAATCAATTTGCCCAAGGTCACAAAGCTAGTAAGTGTCTGAGGTTAGATTTGAGCTCAGGTCATTCTACCCCTAGACACAGCCTTCTATCCACACCAGCTGCCTCAAAGTCTGAGACTCTGTAGAAGGGATTCCTACAACAGATAAGAGGTTGGATTAGGTGACACGCAAAATTCCTTCCAAGTGAGATTTTATTATTCTAAATGCAAAAGTGAAATTCAAAGATACTTAGGGGAATTCAACACAGATTACATTTAAATAACTTTGCACACCTTGAAGTGCTGTATTACTAGCACTTATAATTATTAAGCTATGTGTATGTGTGTATATATACATGCATATACATGTGTGTATGTGTATATGTGTGTGCATGCATGTATATACACACATATACGTGTGTGTGTGTGTGTGTGTGTGTGTGTGTGTGTGTGTGTGTGTGGCACAGTGGATAGTATACCGGGCCTGCAATCAGGAAAACCTGAATTCAAATCCAACCTGACCCATTTACTAGCTTGGTGATCCTGGGAAAATCATTTAATCATCTATTTGCTTCAGTTTTCTCATCTGTAAAATGGGGATAATAATAGCACCCACTTCCTAGGGTTATTGTGAGGATCAAGGGGGTAGTAATTATATAGACCTTAGCCCAGTTCCTGGCACATGGTAAGTGCTACATAAATGTTAGCTATTATCATTAGCTATTACATATACATATATGAAGGTCTGAAATGGTTATTTTCATCAGAATGGGGAAATTCACATTGTTGAAATACTCTTCATTATTAATATAAGCAACTTGGCTGTAACATAGAGTTTTGGAGTATTTCCTGGGACACTGAGATATTATGTCAGTCAGTCAATAGACATTTATTAAGCACCTATAATATTCCAGGCACTGTGCTAAGCACTGGTGACTGGCCCAGCGTCACACAGCTAGTATCTGTCAAATGCAGGGCTTGAATCCATGTCTTCTCCATTGGGGTCACCCTCTATCCACTTCTACACATAGGTTCTCACTAGTTATATTGGTATATTGGTATAGTATGTATTATACAATTAATATGGCATACAATTAATTGTATTGTAATTATAGCTATTGTTATAATTAACACATTGTATTTCCTTATAAGCAAAAATGTCTAAACTAAATGATTGCCCTTCGTAAAGGAAGAAGAAACCAAATTCTATTTAGTGAGGTTGTTATTCTCTGCTGTGGATATTAGCTTGTTTTGATCCTCAGCCATGACTCAGAGATGGACCACAGATTCTTAAGGACAGCAGCTCTAACCACCCCAATCCAATACAGCCTTCTGAGATGGTTTATGAGAGTTCTTTTGACTCACAAGAACTAGATATAGAAGGATCTTTTAGAGGTCATCTAGTCCAACTGACACCCACAGAAATGAAACGACTTGCCCGGGGTTGTAAGAAAAACAATGGACAATGCCAGGATTTGAATCTATGTCCCTGGATTCCAAATCCAGGACTCTTGACACTGACCAGTATTGTCTTCCAGTTCTTTAATAAATTAAACAAATCTCTGATTGTCTGAACTTTAAAAAGGAGATCAGATTCCAGAATTAAAGGGAGTTTCACATGTAAAAGGAAAATCACTGGCCAGATGACTGAACTTAGAAGCCCTGGTTCCTTTTGTGGGCAATGTTTGGTCCTCAGCCAGGACCCCTCGACATTTCTTGGGGCCAAATGCCCTGATATAGATAGATAGATAGATAGATAGATAGATAGATAGATAGATAGATATAGATAGACAGATATTAATATAGATAGATACAGAGATAGACGATTATATGTATATGTATGTATAGACATATTTAACATGTATATGCATGCATTGTACACATGTATATGTATGTGCATGCATATACATATATATATACATATATATATATATATATACACATACGTACATATATATCTATGTGTACAATCAAAGAGAAGTAATATCTTGATTGTGAAGGCCCTAACAGGCTTGCATAATGATGTCAGGAGTCAAAGATCTGTAGCCACAGCAACTTATTGAGGGGAAAAAAGCAGAGTATAGTCTTTGGGGTATAAATTGTTTGTGGTTTTAAAAGAAGAAATAATGCGGTTCCCCACAACTCACTTCCACCTGCTTCAGAGTCAGGTGGAAACCTATCCATAAGCAACCCCAGTTGTATTGCCCTATGCACAGACAGA